AATCTGTAATTTTGTAATTTTTCTGGAAAAAAAATAAAAAAATACGCAGAACTCCTGAAATGTCAGCTATGCATCAAGATACATCTCCGGACCTGCGGACGGTTGACGAAAAACTCAAGAATATATTAGAGGTAAATTCTTATTAAGCTCATAGCGCAATTTTCCGAAACCTCAAGGGTAGTTGCGTAATTATCCCTAAAACACCTCAGGTACCGAACACTTCCCTGAAGAAAAGGCGGGTTGTGGTGGAGCTCTGCAACATGGTGGCCACCCGTGGGGCCCGCGTGGCTGCTTCAGGCATCCTTGGTGTTCTGAAGAAGATGGGAAGGGACAACTCTGCAGCCACGCAAAAGACGGTTATAGCCATGGATGGTGGTTTGTATGAGCACTACACTGAATACCGTAAGTGTCTCGAGAACACGGTTAATGAGTTACTGGGTGAAGAGAATTCTGCAGCTATTGTGTTTGAGCACTCGAACGATGGCTCGGGAATAGGGGCAGCCTTGTTGGCTGCCTCGAATTCGCTTTATGTCGATGACAGGTCAGCACCATCGTCATCTCCTTGAAAATTCGGGTGTTTTTTCCTTTTTTTTTTTGAAGGAAAAAATGAAAATAAGATGGATTTTTTTCTTTCTTGTTCTTTTCCTGCCATGTTTAGAGCATGGATGGNCATTGGATAAGTTTTGGGGACCTGAAATTTGTCTCAGTTGATTTTTTGTTTGACATGGGATTTTCTTATCAACAGAGGAAAAGAATAAAATGAGTGAATTATTTGAGCTGGGTTCAGTAATGCATGATAAAGTTTGATCATATTAATCAATTAGTTTTGTAGCTATACTAAAACTAAATCGATTGTAGTGATTAGACATAATGATCAATTCTTATGTAAAGAAAAGAAGGGGAAAAAGATGATGGAAAGACAAAATCCAAGACAAATGCAGGTATTAATCCACATTATACACTACAAAGTCAACCTTTATATATTTATAAGGTAATGTCAACTTTTAACATTAGCTGCATTACCCCCAAATTGCAGGTTTTCACATGATATTGGTGATTTGTGGAGAATTCTAAAAAGAAGTGATTCACAAATCACAACTACAAGGATGTTTTTTTTTTTTTCTTTACATTTGAGGTTCACTCTGAAAGCCACCAACTTTTGAAATTCGCAGTAACTTCATCATACTCCCCAAATAATAATAATAATGTTAATAATAATACATAACACTTCTCAAATGAAGACTTAAGGAAACAATAGAAGGATGCACTAACAAACACCAAATTTTGCAGTTGATCTCAACAAAGCAATTATACGAATAACTTCAAGTTTCTATTTCAACAATACAAATTCTCATCGTACGTTCGATCATTACTTAGCGTAAGTATCAACCGTTGAGTTCCTTCCCCTGTTTGCTTCCACCTGCAAAAGAATAATGATCTTAAACTGGAATCAACATCTTTCCTTATAAACAAAAAATATTGCGAACGTATGGAACGCCTTATTATATTACAAGCATCAAACGTTAAGAGCCATCTAAAATTCTAGAGATTAGTTTAGTTGCTTAGACTATTTTCCTAAGGGGGTTGTGCGATTAATTTTCCCTTTT